GGGGGGTATTCTCAGCTACCGTCTGTTGCCAAATGATAAACCGACAGATACACAATGCCATGTTATTGCATCCCATAGATATAATAATTGCCTGCCTTGGCGTCTCGAATGTGGGGTCCCTCTCTGAGAACTACGCACATGATCAGTCCCAATGCGAACTCAACATCCAACACTTTGTTTCTCGATGCTTCACTTCGGAACATCAACTAGTGCCATCTTAGTCATTGAAGACTGTTAGGTTGATTACTTCTTTGGTTTGTACCTATTTTAATTTTTCAATTCCGAATCTGCGGGGTGTGATGAAACGTGTCTTAAAACTGTGTTGGTAACGACATTATGACACAAACAAAATGTCTAATTAATGATGCATTTACCACCAAGTGCCTCAAAATATGAAACAGACTTCGGTATTCATGGTTCGACTTTCATTTCTTTGCTAGTGTGTTGAAAAAAAGTTATGGTATCCTGTTTTTCCCCCTTCTCATCCAGATTTTACGGGTTTCCATGTAAGTTACTCTCCGTTCTCCGGCTTCGGTTACCTTTTATTTCTCCAGTGAGAGTTGGATGTTCAAAGCCTTCATGTCGTTTCAAGTGTCCCAGAAACTGCCTAATTGTGATAATTGTAAATTAAATTATGATAAGTCTTCTGTTCAACATTTATTAGTATACTTCTACTATCTACTACATTTTTAGAGGAATGAACATCTTCCGTCCCCACAACCCCCACAACTCCCACAACCCTCACAACCCCATAACCCAGTGTTTTCATACCACAATGTACCTTTTTACAACACGAGGAGGAGAAAAACGAGAGAAAGGAGGACAACCGTCACAAAGAAGAGGAGACAGAGGAGGAAAAGGAGGAGGAAGAGAAAGACGAAGAAGAGGAGGATGAGGAAGAGGAAGACAAGGAAAAGAAAAAAGAGGAGGACGAGGGAGAGAAGGAAGAGGAGGACGAGGAAGAAAAGAGGGTGGGGACCAGGAAAAAAAGAAAAAGAGGGAGGAAGAGGGAGGGGGAGGCAAAAAGCAGATTGATGATGTTCCTGACGAATTCTTGTTTATTTTGTTGTCCCTCAGCCCGTGGTGGTTTTTTAAAACTTCAATTAAGGGCATTCGCTTCCTTGAATTGTTTTGAACATTTCCAGAGTCTGAGCCTTTGGAATTGAAAGCAAAAAAAGCAAAATAGAGAGCAAAAGGATAAAACAAAAAGAAAAAAGTTCTCAAGATTGTTGTAACAACTAAAAACTTGCAATCTCTCGTGTCTTCCTTCTCACGACGGGATCGTACATTGCCAGCCAGCCAGGCAATTTCGCGCCAAATTGAAGGTGTCCAGTATTTCAAGTTTCTTTGTCTCCGACCGTTCCAAATTACCTGACGCAGATCTCAGACCTCAACCAAAATACATGTTTCATCTACCGTTTAAAACAAATCCGTGTCTTAGATCTAATGACTCCGACATTAGCAATGAGTGGAAGAGCCGGTTTGGGACTTCAGGGGAAAATGGGCAATTCGTAGGGACCAGCTGGTTGTCGTGTCCGGTTCTAGTTGAGAGGGGGAGGGCTGGTCTGACCGGGTTAACAGGAATAGACATGAGCTGTGTTCAGGAGGCAGTGGTCATTGACACACAAGCACTGGTTTGGACGTTCTCATGTTTTCTGTTATTCAAGAGATCTTTGTTTGATTTTATTTCAAGTACGGACAATCAGGGGGCTCTTGTGGTGTAGAGAGGTTACGGTGTTCGCCTCTCATTCAATAGGTCCCGGGTCCGAATCCGGACAGCGACAGAAAAATTTTATTCGCATAAAGTTTCTCATGTCACCCCCTTTCCTGCTCTGTTGTTAACAATGTTTTAACATCTGCTTTCGTCTCCACTTTCTGCTCCCACCCCCTCACCTCCTTTGCCCCATCCTTTGGGCTCCTGACTCTTTCCGCAGTCTTTCTACTGCTACTCGTCAGCTCCTTCTTACTGCTGTCTTTTAACCACACCCCAGAGCTTATGGTAGGCAAGATCTAACACTTTGCCTTCTCCGATAAGGGCCAAAAATCTCAGAGGCCCCGAGTGCAGGCTGTGCACGTTTAAGATCCCTTGATGGTCCAAAATCGATAATAGTAAGCTTCGGTCGCCACCCGAGCAAAATTCTAAATTTTCAACCAACTGAAAATGTATAATGTGTCCCGCGCGCTAGTATGACCGTATGCAGTTGCGAGCGCCGTAAAACAGAAAAAACAACAAAAAACAAACAAAAAATTTTAAAAAATAGACAATCAGCCCCAGTGTGGTGTAACTACCAAGCACTTCGTCGCCGTATGATGAAGAACTGAGGTCGATCAACGTGTATGGAGGATTTTTATCAAGTACAGATCTCGGTTTTTCTTCTAGAACGAAGTATAACTCTTAGTCCAGGTTGGCACGGACAGGCAAGGCCCAAGATCAGCTCTTCAATGAAGGAAACTGTGTCGAAGGGGGCTTAAAGACACCTACATCAAAAGAAAAATTGAACACACTTGCTTGGATTTTGAACATTCTTGTGTCTACCGTTATATAAGAGATTATCGTTTAGTTTTATTGCAATTAAAGCTAGTTTCAAGACTCTCTCTCTCTCTCTCTCTCTCTCTCTCTCTCTCTCTCTCTCTCTCTCTCTCTGTGTGTGTGTGTGGGGGGGGGGGGGTGTCTATGTGTGCGTGTGTGTGTGTGTGTGTGTGTGTGTGTGTGTGTGTGTGTGTGTGTGTGTGTGTGTGTGTGGTGTGTGGTGTTGCGTGGATATGTCGTGTTAATGATGTGTAAGAGATAGAGAGAGTTATATAAATAAAGCGTATATTATAGAGAGAGATAAAAAGAGAGGGAAAGAGAAAGAGAAAGAGACAAAGAAACAGACAGACAGACAGACAGACAGACAGACAGACAGACAGACAGACAGACAGACAGATAGACAGATAGACAGACAGACAGTCAATAGAGCTCGGTCGTGCAGTGCCGCCCAAAATTCGTGTATGTTCTATTACATAAAGCACCCCCGATAATGAAATAAAAGAAGCCAGAAACAAACACTAACAAAATATTTTTTAAAACAAGGTCCTCGCTGGCGCTGTAACTGTCATTTCTAAGTCTATAGCTTCGTAAAACATCTACTATGTTATGCCAAAGTCCAAGCGCCTGACTTATAAATCTCTCTTTGGGATAACCTAAGCGATGACGACACTCGTACAAAGTTTGGCGGCACATTACTATAAATAGGACGCCACATCCCAATGTCCACTCACGAAACATAGCCTACAGTAGGCAGTCTAAATATAAACGCAATATACTGTACACTATTCTTTGCCAAAATTATGTGAGCCCCGGAGCAATCCAGCAGAGTGCTCAAGTGAATTGTGATTGGTCCATTGAACTTGGGGGAGGTGAACGTGACATACTTCCGTCTTATGAGTTGTGCCTTTGAATGGTTTTGTAGTGGAATGGTGAAAGTTATTACTTGAGTGTTCAGTTCCAATACAAGATAAAGAAATTGGTGTTCAGCTAACAAACAGGTTTAGTTCAAGAAATCAAAGCGACAGGTTAAAATAATGAAAATAAAAGCATATCGTCCTCCTTAACCTACCCGAAGATCCTACCATCCCATTTACTATGCCCTTGACTATCCTCAACCTGCTATTGCTTAATTGTGCACGCCCATTTTAAGCCCCACGAGCCGCCCCTGACAGACAGACAGACAGACAGACAGACAGACAGACAGACAGACAGACAGACAGACAGAGAAAGAAAAAGAAAAAAAGACGAGCGAGCGGAAATGAGTGATGATGAAGAAGAATAATTGTTTTTATTGTCAAGTCTATACCGTGCATGCAAGCATGCGTGCGTGCATGCGTGCCTGTGCGTGATGACTTACGCTCTGCTGATGCAGTTTCTGAAGCATGGTCTTCACGTGCACGTGCTGCAGGTGGTCGGGTAGCGACAGTGGCGGGTGGATGGAGTCGAACGTTGTGCGTAGGGCCAGGGTTCCAACATCGTGTAGCAGCCAGCAGACACGGGCTAGGTACTCTCGCTCTCTCGAGGTTACCAGGTGTTCGGGGGGAGCCTCGTCCTTCCCCTGAAATCATCATCATCATCATCATCATCATCATCATCATCACCATCATCATCAATATTGTAAGCTCGAAGGCAACGATAGGCAAACAAACAGATGGAGACTAGAATTTCCTTTTCATAAAACTGTAAAAGTTCAAAGTTTCGCCCTGTGGGCTCCGTCAGGAACATGGTAACACTCATCATCGCCATTATTTTTAGCAGCAGCAGCAGCAGCAGCAGCAGCAGCAGCAGCAGCAGCAGCAGCAGCAGCAGCAGCAGAGCAGCAGCAGCAGCAGCAGCAGCAGCAGCAGCATATTATAACTTTGGGAAGCAAGATCAGAAAAAAATGGTAGAGACTTGAGTAAAGTAATGTTTTGAAATTCTATAGAAAGGTTTGCCATGAGTGTTTCGTCAGGAACGTGATTTAAAAAATGATGAATAACAATGATAACAATGATAACAATAATAATGATCATAATAACAACAACAACAACAATAATAATAATAATAATAATAATAATAATAATAATAATAATAATAATAATAATATCATCATCCAGAGCCAGATCTGCGACAGACATGGACGATCATGGTTCTCCTTTCATTCCTTTGCTCGGATGCTCTCAAAAAAGCTACATTTCACTGATCTTTCCCTGTCACTCATTTGTTTAGGTTACCCAAGTATGTTGTTCTGGGCCTTCCCCTGCCTCGCTTGCCCTCAATTTGCCATTGAGAGCTAGGTGTTTAAGACCCTTATGTGTCCCAAAAACTGCATTTATCGTTTCCTGACTGTTTTTTAACGTTGAGCGACCCACGTGGGCTTCCCCAAGAACTACCTCATTTGATTTCTTTTCCTTCCACGATACTCTTAGCAGTCTGCTAAGAAACCACATTTCTGTTGCTTCTATTTTATTTTCACTGTCTCTAGTGATTGTCCAGCATTCACAGCCATATAGAAGGGTTGACCAAACATAGCATTTCAGAACTTTCATTTTGGTGTCCATTGAGGATTGGGCTCATTTTTATTGAAACCAGCCTTTGCCTTTGTAATTCACCGTCTTATTTCTGTGGAACATTTGGCATCAGGTGTTATCATATATCCTAGATATTTAAACCGTTGGACTAGTTTGATCTTTTCATCTTTGCTAATGAGATTACAACTAGGCTTTGTTGGGTTTTTTTTATATTACCATGCATTCTGTTTTCTTTACATTCAACAATAATCCTTTACGTTCACCTTCTGTTACAATAGTATCAAGAAGCAATTGAAGGTCCTTTTCTGAGCCTGCTATCAAAACTGTGTCATCTGCATACCTGATGTTATTAATCTTTTCTCCCTTTACTTTGAGACCTGGACATTCTTATATGTTTCTAGGGATTGTTTCACTGTACATGTTAAAGAGGTCTGGTGACATAACACATCCTTGCCTCACTCCTCGCCTGATCTGCTTATATTCACTGTATTCTCCATTAATTCGTACAGCAGCGTTTTGGTCCCAGTACAAATTCTTGATAATTCTTAGATCTTTTCCATCTATGTCTAGCTTTTCCAGTATTCTAAATAGCTCATCATGTGTAACTTTATCGAACGCTTTTGAATAATCTATGAAGTATAAATACAGATCTTTCTGAGCATCAATACATCTTTTCATTAACATTGTTAAGGCGAATATAGCATTTCTGGTGCCCTTGTCGGGAACAAAGCCGACTTGCGTTTTAGATATCTCTGGTCTTACACTTTTTCTCAATCTTCCCATTATTACTCGCAGCAATATTTTTGTAAAATGACTCATAAGGCTAATTGTATTATGCGTATCACATTCAGCGGCACCTGGTGTTTTAGGTCAATCAAGTTATAAAAACTGACTTCATCATATCTTCTGGGATCTCACCGCTGTCATAAATAGCATTTAGGAGCTTTGTTGTTATTTCAGTGCCTAGTTATTCAAGCGCGACAATCACTTCAACTGGAATATTATCTGGCCCTGTGGCTTTTCCCTGTTTCATTTTCCTAATGGCAGCTTGTACTTCTGCTTTCAGTATTGGTGGTCCATTTATTTCATTCTTTATTACCTGTTTTTTTCCTCTATTATCTTTGAAAAGTTCCTCTATGTATTCTGACCATCAGTTTTAGACATCCCCTTTGTCCATTAAAATACCTACTCCTTTTGATCTCTTGCATCTTGTATTTGATCATCCTTTTATCCCACTTACTTCTTTGATTTTGGAATGCATGTATTTGCTATCTTTGTTTTAGTTCTTCTCTATTTGTTGACACTGATCATTTTTTTCATGTTTTTTTTTGCTTCGTTGCATTTTTTCTTTATTTCCCTGTTTAAGATGTTGTACTTTTCCACATTAGATTTTGCCTTTCTTCTCTCTTCCATTAGTTTTAATATGTCCTGGGTTATCCAGTTTTTATTAGCTTTTTTAGCTTTTTTTTGGGGGGGGGGGTATTTTCTTCCACAGCTTCCATTATTGAGTCTTTCATTTTGCTCCATAGTTCTTCCGATTTAGTAATATTTTCCAAAGCTTGAAATTCATTGCTTACATCTATGGAGAAACGTTCTTTCAGTTCATGGTTTGTCTTTAAAATACCTACGTCAAATTTTGGTTGGTACCTTGACTTTTGAAGTTTTTTTCAGTCTTATCCGCATTTTACACATGACTGGTACATGGTCACTATCACAGTCTGCTCCTGGCAGTGATTTGGATGATTTAATTGTATTTCTAAAACGTTTCTGAACAAGTATGAAATCGATTTGATTTCTACTTATATCGCCAGCACTCTTCTAAGTGTATCGTCTTCTTGGGTGATTTTCATACCAGGTGTTTGATATTATAAAATTATTTTCTCTGCACCATTCTGCAAGTCGTTCCCCGCGTTCATTCTCTTTACCCAGTCCCCGTGGCCCTGCTACATCTTCTATACGTGTAGTTCCTACTTTGGCATTAAAGTCTCCCGCGACTACCTTTACATCTTGTGATTTTAACTGTTTCATTGCTTTATCAAGTTCTTCATAAAAAGTCTCAATTTCCTCGTTGTCGTGCTCTGATGTTGGTGCATATATTTGGACTACACCTATGTCAAAAGTTTTCCCTTTAATTTAACCACGATGACTCTATCTGGCTCTCTCCAAAAACCTTTGATGCTCTTTGCAAATGCTTCGTCAAATAAAATTCCTACTCCTCTTTGATGGGTTTTTCCTCCTGAATATACAATTGTTTTGGATCCTCTTTTAATCAAGCCTGCCTCCTCCCATATAACTTCTGAAAGGCCTAACATATTTAGCTTCATCCAGTCCATTTCCTGCTTTATATTATCTAATTTGCCTTTCTGGTACATTGTTTTCACATTCCAGGTGGCTATGTTGAGTTGTTTATTTTTGCAGCCAGTAGCTGGATGACGATCGGGCGCCACCTGCTGCCCGTGGCGGTCCCTACCGAGCGGGGAGTTCAGAGCTGGATCATGAACCCCCTTAACGCTGTTATCTGATAATGAATTTACTTTTCCATGACTATTCTTGGGATATTACAGCATTGGTTTTCCGTTGCCTACTGCCGGCTTGTGTACAGTTGTCTCTGCTAGCCTTTGTCATTAACTGACAACCCACAAGGCAGTGGGGACTTTGGTAGGTTTCCCGTCGCCAAGATGGTCCCTTCTTCGAGTATGTGAGGTATTTATTAAAGCACTTGTGCCACCAGGGTTGTCCTTTACTCTCCACTACCATCTCCCATTTGGTTGACGACTACTAAGCAGCTAACTTCCATATCTGGAGGCCTTTCCCCTATCCACCACCCGGGGACGCGCTGCGTTGGGTATGAGGACCCACTACTACTACTACTACTACTACTACTACTACTACTACTACTACTACTACTACTACTACTACTACTACTACTACTACA